ACTCTTAATCCCAGTGCTCAGGAGGTAGATGCAAGGGACTCTCTGTGAGTTTAAGGCCAACAGGTGATACACAGTCAGACCCTGTCTAAAAAACAAAAAAAAAAAAACAAAATAACAGCAACAGCAAAAACTGATCACAGGCCTATAATCCCAGCATCAGAGAAGTGGCGACAAGACAATCAAAAACTCAAGGACTTTGGCTAGCCTTGAAGCCTTGAGGCCAGCCTGGGCTACTTGTGACCTTGTCTGAAAACTATAATAAGAAGAGTATAATCTGTTTCCAAGCGAGGTGACTGACAGACCCACGTCACCCAAGCCCAGGCACTGCGGAAAACACACACCCCTTTCTGAACTCCACTGAAAAAAATATGTGCCACACGCGTTTTAATTTTTAGGCTGCACCTGCCACCCAGTGACTTCACAGAGGTAAGAAACTCACTTAACATCTGTCATTCCATAGACTGCTTTGCAAGTTTCAGGAGGCGGCAGAAACTATATTACAGCAAGCAATAAAATATGGTATAGATGCCCCAGGGTTCGCATTCAAGATTATTGAAAGTGTGTTTAGGACTACCACGGGGAATAAGATGCCTAACCAGGCGAAGGAAAACAACTGACATTGTTTGGTTTCAAAAGGCAAACAAATAACTGCAAAGAGAAGATCAAAAGAAAAGACTAAGATTCGTTTATGTTAAATAAATTTAGGCCATAAAGGGGACTACTTTCTGTCTAATGTCAAAAGCCAATTATCTCTTGCCCTCCATAGAAGTAATGAGACCTTCTTTGTTTAGCACTACACTCTCTCTGTCTCCTCCCCCACCCCAGGATCATACCATCAGTGAAGTTAGCCCCTCCGGAGCTATTTGCAGCTTTGAGGAGACAGAACTCAAGAACTTTGCTGTGACAATCTAGACAACTTTCTCACTAGACAATCCCTAAGACCAACTGGAAGGAGGAAGTCACTTAGCTTAAAGTAAGGGCCAAGTAGATGTCACCAGCGTCAGAGCTCAGGGCTCCGCTAAGTCTGCTGCCTAAGCCGAAATGAAAGGCAGAACTGGGAGCAGATGGGGGTCTGTGAGTGAGCTGGGTGTTTAACCAGGCAAGCCCTGACAGGTTCAGTCTGACCTGAGAGCAAAAGGAGGACGGAAGGGAGAGTGTAGTTTTTGAGATAGGATTGAATGAAGAAGATAGATAGATAGATAGATAGATAGATAGATAGATAGATAGAT